ACGGAATGCTTCGTAGGCTCTGCTACGCGCTTCCACGTTTACAACCCACACGTGGCGCGTTCCGGCGTCGACGAAGGTGAGTGTGTAGAGTTCGTCGTTGATGCCACAGTGTCCTACGTTGAGAAAGTCACTGTAAACCTTCTCAAGCTTGGCGTAGCGATTGGTTCCTGGCTCGAGTAGGGGGAAAGGCTGGTGACTCAGCGCAGCTTCGGGGCAGACAGTGCAGCTGCGCGGGTGAGTCCCTCCTCTCACTTCGGAGCTGTCAGGGCGCAACAGCGCGCCAGGTGCAAAGATGCCGGCTTCGATGCAGTTCTTCAGGGTCATGCGCGAAGGGTGACCTAGGCGCTGATGCCAGATGGCGTCGTCGGCGCGGAATCCTGATGTGCGCATGTAGCGCTCCAGTGCGGGTGCGGGGTCTTCGTTAGGTGTCGGTGCAGGTGTAGGCGCTGCTCCCTCGTTCTCTTCTTCTTCCTCGTTCGGCGTCGTTAGCATGAGGGCGAGAAATTCTCTGTCGCGGATGATGGAGTAGGGGATGTTGGTTCCGGGGATCGTGCCAAGTACGAACGCCGATTCGCGTGGTTCAGGGGCAGGTCCGTAGACAGTGCGTCGCGGGGTGAGTGGTTCACTTCCCCAGTCAATGGTGTCCCAGGGGTCACTACCTGAAGGGATGTCAGGCGGCGGTGGTCCTAACGCTGGGCGGCGCGGAGGCCGTCCGAGAGGAACAAAAGGAGGTTCGACCTCAACATGTACAGGTTCTTCTTCCTCTTCCCCCCTTTGATCCCCGCGGAAAGCTCCCTAGCCGCTCGTCACGCCACCTTGTGCGGCGCCCCATCCGCCGATGTATGCGCCTGTTGCTGCACCCCATCCGCTGGTGTCGCTCGTTCCCCATCCGCCGGTGCTCCCCCACCCCCCTTCATTGGAGGCGCTTTCCTCGTCCTGCTCCCAGGCGAGCGTTCCGCGTGCCTCGGCGAGGCTCTTCCGCCGAAGCTCTTCGGCTTCTTGTTGCGCCAATGTCTCTTCTTCCGTGGGCGAGAGCCGTTTCTTGGAATCGCGCCGGTGAGAGTATATCTCTGCTGCCTTTCGTTCGGTGTAGGGCCGGGGATTCCCATGCGCGTCGAAGGTGCTGACGCCAACGCCGCGGAGCATTCCTTGAAGATGCTGGGATGCGGGTCCGGGAAGAGGGTGTTCCGGTGTGCCGAATACGACCCGTGTAGCTGTTTCCAACTCCAGTTGGGAGAGACCCTCTTCAGGCGGTGCGTCTCGCTCTGTTTCGCCTACCTACGGCCCTGCGGCCCCGACGCCTACCTTCGGGCCCACGGCCTCGTCGCCTACCTGCGGCCCTACGGCCCCGTCGCCTACCTGCGGCTCCGGCCCCGTCGCCTACCTGCGGCCCTACGGCTCCGTCGCCTACTTGCGGCCCGGCCCCGTCACCTACCTGCGGCCCCGGCCCGTCGCCGCCCTCGGTTGCGGCCCCGTCGCCGCCCTCACCTGCGGCCCTGTCGCCGCCCTCACCTGCGGCCCGTCGCCGCCCTTAATTGCGGCCCCGTCGCCCTCACTTGCGGCCCCGCCGCCCTCTGTTGCGGCCCCGTCGCCGCCCTCAGCTGCGGCCCGTTGCCGCTCTCACCTGCGGCCCGTCGCCGCCCTCAGTCGCGGCCCCGTCGCCGCCCTCACCTGCGGCCTCGCCACCCACATTTGCGGCTCCGCCGCCCTCCGTTGCGGCCCTGTCGACTACCTTGCGGCCCCGGCCCCGTCTCCTATACCTGCGGCCCCGCCACCTGAGGCCCCGATGTCACCTGCGGCCCCGCCACCTGAGGCCCCGTCGCCACCTGCGGCCCCGCCCACCCTTGCGGCCCCGTCGCCCACTTCGGCCCCGCCCACTTGCGGTCCCGACCCCGCCCCGGCCATGCCTCGTCACCAGCTGCGGCACACCGGGGGCACGTGCACTGCCCCCCCCCTTCTTCCCGTCACCTATCGCGGCTCCTTCGGGGGCCGCGTGACCTGAAAGGGAGGGGCAGGCGACGCCCCCTCTGCCGCCTACTTTGGCGCCCGGGGAGGCCGTGCGTCACCCCCCCCCCCCCCCCCACCCCCCCCCCCCCCTTCTCCTCCTCCTTTTGTTCCCTCTACTGCAGCTGCCGCTGGGGGGGAGGGTGTGAGAGTGTGTGGGAGCCCGGGGAGGGACTAGGGGTGGCGGGTGTGGGGGTGATGGGTGATGTGTGATCTCCCCTTCCCATCCTCCTCCGTTTGCCCCCCTCTGCTGCTCCTGCAGCAGTGTGGGGGGGAGGGGGAGGGGGAGGGTGAGGGGATGTAGGGGGTGACCAACCAGAGCCTACCACCTCTCTCTCCCTCTCTCTCTCCTCCTCCTTGCCTGCCCTCTCCCGTTCTGCTGCGCACTCTGCCTCGTGTACCCCATTATGGGGGTGTTGACTGCACATTCTTCCCTACAGGCACTTATGGGGGCGTGTCAGAATAATATATAATTCTATATATTGTTTTGTAATTGCTTGTAGTGTAGACTACTGTAGTCATCTAACTTTCTGTTTGGTGGTGCACCTTTCTTCACTCTTGCCTATTTGTACTGCTCGCTCTATAGTGAAACACACTCATTTGTTGCAATCTTCTCGACTTTCCCAAACTCACTCGAACTCAACTACTCGACCTACTAGCTATGGCTCCTAAGCCTCTCTAGTACCTTGACAGGAGATGCCTCGATTGGGTCGGGCGCCGGCTGAGGTGAGAGTGAGCGTGCGCGTGGGCGACGAGAGCCGCTCGTCATGGTCATGTTCCCCATGACGTTGCGGACGGGGGCAGCTTGTAGCGGCTGCTGCTGCTACTGAGTTGTTGGATTCAGGTTGCGCGGTGGGGGTTGAGACCCTTGGGCGGGATGCGTGTCGTTTCTTACGTCTTGTCGGCCGGACCAAGTGCTCGGATTGGTCTAGTGAGGGCCAAGTGCCCGAAATTTCTGCAGATCTTGCAGTAGAGGCGCCGTGGTCGTCGCTCTTCCGTGTTGTCTGCGTAAAATGCGAGACTTTCTCTCTCTCGTCGTGGTGCTGGTCACTGCTGGTCAATATTCCGTTGTTCGACGAGGAGGGCGGCGCAAAGGCCGGCCTCCGATATGACCCCCTGCTGTCGGAGAAGCGCCTTGCAGGGCCGCCACTCTGGGCTGAGCCCTTGGAGCATGATGTTCACGAAGATCTCCTCAGAGATCGAGCTCCCCAATTTCGCGATTTGATCGCGTAGACTCCGATAGCAATTCAGGTAACTGTTGGCTTTCTCTCCTGGTGCCATCCTTGTTTCCAGTAACTGCTGGAGGAGGCGGCTCGACGACACTGAGTCCTTGGGTTGGTATACGCCATTCAGGTGGCGCCGGACGCTGAGGGCTGGAGCAGGGGAGGTCTTGTATGAACGAATGCTCAATTGCTCCGTCGGTGACATGTTCCGCAGAAGAACCCCATACGCCATCAGGGACTCGTTGTAGTACTTGGTTTTTGCGTCGTCAGTATCTCCCGTAGGCCCCGAGTAGCTTCCGTCGAAATACTGATAAATCCGCGCGTTTTGTAGTAGCAGCTCCAGCTCAAAGCTCCAGGTATAGAAGTCTCTGCCGTCAAAGCACGCACTTGTCTTTATTTTTGATATGCTAAAAAACCTTGATTGCGCAGAGAGAATTGCTTCATCGCTGGGACAGGAAGTCTTGGGGGTTGAGCCGTTCGTATCGAGAGAGAAGCTTTGCGGGGCGGAGTTCTGGCCGTTTGAGGCCGGTTGAGTGGGTTGGGAAGAGGTTCCCGCATCGCCATTCCGCAATGTCTGGAGCCCTTGCTCCAGGCTCGTGAGTCGCTGAAGCAGTTGTGCGAGGATGGCGGAAGGAATCGTCGTCGTTTCCTCGTTTGTCGCAGCCGGGTTGGGCTGCGCTTCAGCCGTCAGATTCGTCTGACCTCCAGATCCTTCGGCCATTCTTACACGTGATCGTGTCCCGGACGCCACTTTCCGAATGTCGCAGATTTCGGAGATGGCGGTGCGAAGGATTCCTGAGTCGCTCTCATACCACGTTAAAAACAGCAAGTGATCGTAACCAGGATCACCTCAGGAAGGTTCGCACAATTCTGGTCTAGTGGTGGTGGGCCCTTGACCTCAATAGCATAGTGAATCTAAATGCTTGACATAATAAAAACGTGTAGTACAAGGAATGTAAATATGAGTACAGGGGAATTTGAAACGACCTAACTAGCCATGTACTCTAATGGGTACATTCCCTTATTGCAGCTAAATCCAACCGTTCGACTCCGAGTGGTTATGTAACTATTCGAGCAGAATCCTCGCCACTGCTGCTGCCTGATGCTGTGTGCTCGACGGTCCAGATGCTCCTCGTAACCGTCTGTCTCTTCGCCTTTCTTATGCCTTTTCGTCTTCACTCTCGATAGTGCGTGCTTCGGCTTTGCTACGGTGAGGAGTGCGCAACAGTGTTTTTCATTAGCCACCGTTCGTAACAACACATACACACACACACGCACGCACATGCACACACACACATACACACACACACACGCACTCACTCATACACACACTCACTCATACACACACTCATGCACACACGAAACACATAAAAATACTGGCAACTTGTTTAACTGGGATTGGGAGTTGTTGAGCATTGATATAAAATTACACGCGTGAAGTCAAGTTCGTTATGCAGAACACAAACAAAGGCGCAATGAAAGCTCACACATAATTGTTGCACTCCAGTGTCATAATATTTATTTTTCCTTCCTAACCCTCCTGAACGCCCCCGGGTGTTAACATATATGGGAATAAGGTAGCCAGCACAAGACGCTCATGTTTTGGGTCTGGGGACACTATGGATACCGTAACTTTGATAGGACATGCCGTAGACTACCAGGTACAAGCACGTTCATGCCTAGGGCTACTTTGATTGGAGCTCATCCGTGAACAAATAGCAATAGGGGCAATGAGGCACACTGTTGCGTGCGAGGGCCGTGGCAGGGCAGGCGTCAAGAGCGGGCGAGGTGAATGAGTGGGATGTGCGAGATGGCGTGGCGGCGCAGCGACCACGGGCTCACTCCTGCCTTGTGTGCCGCCATCACCCCCAGCGCCTCCCAGTAGTTGCCCACCACCACCTGCCATCCACATGGCCCGGGGGGAAAGTAGCACGCACACCCCGGGAAGCAACAGCAGAGAGGGAAAAAAAGAGAGAGAGGAGGGGGAGCGAGGGAGGGAGAGAGAGAGGGGAGAGAGAGGGAGGAAGGGATCGAGGGAGGGAGGGAGGGAGAGAGAGAGAGAGAGAGAGAGAGAGAGAGAGAGAGAGAGAGAGAGAGAGAGAGAGAGAGAGAGAGAGAGGGAGAGAGAGAGAGAGAGAGAGAGAGAGAGAGAGAGAGATGGAGAGCAGCAGATGGAGTGAGGATTGCTGATGTGCCCTAATGCCCGAATGCCGTGAAGCTTGAGCATGGAAGGCGATGGCATGCGAAACTCACAGCAGGGATGGCAAACTTGGAGGGCGGGTCGTCCATGACGGTAGTGTTCTCCTCCACCGCTATGAACAGCGGCTGCCATGCACCAAGGGGCGCCCACAGGCACGTGGAGGGATGGGCAAAGAGGGGCGCAGTGAATGCAGGTACAACGATGAGAATTGAGGTAGATACAGCAGAGCAAGTGCAGCTGTTGCTGTGAGCCCAGAGCATTGACAGCAGCACAGCATGGCAGGGTGCAGCACTGACCGGGCCGCCTGGTCGATGAGCGAGGGCCTGGGCGGCAGGGCCCCCGAAGGCATCGACGGGCAGCACCACACAGTCCACGTCCTCCGCCCACACCACCCCTCCACCTCCCCCGCTGCTGCTCATGCTCATGCTCATGCTCATGCTCATGCTCGTGCCGCTGCTGCTGCTGCCAGCATCTCCGCTGTAGTCCCATGCGCCCCCAATGATGGTGGGAATGCTGCTCGCATTCGCTGCCCCCTCCTGCCCCTCTTGCCCCTCGCCTGCCCCCATGCGCTCAGCTGCGGTGCCGGGAGGGGCGTGGCGGGTGACGAAGCGGGGCGCGCGCGAGAGGCCAGCCAGCACACATGGCAGGAACGTGTGACCAATCTGAGGGGCACGTGTGCGTGGGGGAGGGGAGGACGAGGCAGCATCAGGTGGGGCCGGAAGCAAGTGACCTGCAGTGGGCAGTGAGCAGCACGGGTCAGCGCTCACCTCTTCAGCGGCAGAGCGCGGGGCGATGGAGGGGAGGAGGGGCAGGGGGGCGAGGGCGGGGGCGTGGGCGGCAGGGAGTTGGAAGCGGCGGACAACGAGGTGGGAGATGACGGCCTCCACGCCCGCCAGCACGTCCACGCCGCTCCCCTCGCGGTACTGCTGCAGCACCTCCTCTGCATCGTCAGGGAAGCGCGCCACCACGCCCACCGCGTCCACCCCACGGCCACCTGTAGCAGGGGCTGCTGCGGGTGAGAGGGCGTGCGCGTGGGAGGGCGGGTGTGCGGCGAGGGGCGCATCCAGCAGCGTCTGCACAGCGCGCAGCAGGGAGTCCGCCTCGTCGATGCGCCCCGTGGCTGCTCCTGTGGCGCCGTCCACCCACTTGTGCACCTGCTGCCCGCCCCCCACACACGCCCACGGGGACATGGGCTTGCTGAGACGCACGCAGGCACACGCATGCTGTGAGAGAGGCAGGAAGTGCGAGAATGAGTGACGGGCATGTGAAGGAGCAGACGGGCGCAGGTCACCTTGAGGGGGCGGTCGGTGACGGTGTACCTTGAGGGGGCGGTCGGTGACGGTGTACCTTGAGGGGGCGGTCGGTGACGGTGTACCTTGAGGGGGCGGTCGGTGACGGTGTACCTTGAGGGGGCGGTCGGTGACGGTGTACCTTGAGGGGGCGGTCGGTGACGGTGTACCTTGAGGGGGCGGTCGGTGACGGTGTGCCTTGAGGGGGCGGTCGGTGACGGTGTACCTTGAGGGGGCGGTCGGTGACGGTGTGCCTTGAGGGGGCGGTCGGTGACGGTGTACCTTGAGGGGGCGGTCGGTGACGGTGTACCTTGAGGGGGCGGTCGGTGACGGTGTACCTTGAGGGGGCGGTCGGTGACGGTGTACCTTGAGGGGGCGGTCGGTGACGGTGTGCCTTGAGGGGGCGGTCGGTGACGGTGTGCCTTGAGGGGGCGGTCGGTGACGGTGTACCTTGAGGGGGCGGTCGGTGACGGTGTACCTTGAGGGGGCGGTCGGTGACGGTGTACCTTGAGGGGGGTGACGGTGTACCTTGAGGGGGCGGTCGGTGACGGTGTACCTTGAGGGGGCGGTCGGTGACGGTGTACCCCACTATGTCAATCCCCAGTGTTGCCCTCGCTGCGTCCGCCACCTGCAGGGGCGGGGGGAGTGCGGGGCGAGGGGGGTGTGTTGCGGGGAGCATGGTGAGGGCACATGAAGGCAAAAGCAACCGGGGGTAAGGGCAAGGCGGAGCGGGGCAGCAGCGAGGCAGCTGACGAAGAGATCAGAGAGCCACACAGGGGCAATGTCGCAGGAGCCACTGCATGCAGCACCATCCCATCCCATCCCAGTGCCATGGCGGCGGCATGGCGGCGGCACCTGCAGGTGGCGCTGGAGGAGGTCGTCCTCGATGGCGCGGTCGAACACCAGCCCCACGCGGTTGCTGTGCACGGGCTGCAGCCCCCACTCCCCGCGCGCGAAGCGGTCGAGCGCGTGGCCCTCGACGTAGAGCGCGCGCGGCAGCGGCCAGTAGAGCATGGCGCCGTTGAGCACGTTGGGGTGCGCGATCAGACACTCCGCCACGCTGCTGAACGCGCGCGCCACCGGCAGCGCGTCCCCCGCGAAACCCCCGATCTCCGCGCCCACGCCCGTGGGCACTATCAGCACCGCCACGTAGGGGCGCTGCGCGGGGGAAGACTGCGCGGAAACAGGGGGGTTAAGCCGGGGACGGGGCAGAGGTGAGTGGAAAGATAAGACGGGCTGCGAGGGCTAGTGGATGCGAGGGGCGCTGCATCTCACCACGCTGCATCTCACCACGCTGCATCTCACCACGCTGCATCTCACTACGCTGCATCTCACCACGCTGCATCGTGGTCCGTACTGTTGGCGTAATTGCGGCTCATTCGTGTCACGTGGTACCGCCAGCGCCCTGCTCCGCCACTCCCCATCCCCTCGTAATCCCTCCAAACCGCCCATGCGGGCGATCTGCGGAGACAGAGGCGGCGCATTGTGGGAGCGCGAGTGCGCGAAGGAGCAGCTTGCTCGACGCGCGAGTGTACTTTCGGCGGGGCCATTTTTGTCGCTGGCGGAAAGGGAAGGTGGGCAGTGCGCGTTACAGGCGGGAGGCACTGCGAGAGGGTTCATGACGTGCGAGTGTGGCTGGATGGATAGTGTCGCCGCGCTTTCAGGGCAAGTGGGCCGCTGGCAACACTGATGCTACGCAGCTATATGTCTGTCGTCAACACTCAAAATTGCTCATTTATGAATTCATGCCCCCCCTCGAATTTCCTCCCAAAAAGTGCAAGAGGGTCGGGGTTTAGGAACTCGTTTTACGCCTCTTCGAAATTAGGTAAGTAGCATGTGTGCCAAACTTCATTTCCGTAAAACTGAAACCACTCAAGTAGAACCAGGCTGCCCTCGACAGTGACGACAGCCCGTGCGATTGAGTCAACCCCTGCGACTGTGCTCTCCGATTCGGCCACACCTTCTCGAACCTCGATTTTCCGAGCCGTTGGCCCACAATGATGATCCCAAGGTTGGTGGCCGTGCTTCTCCCTAGAATTCGTCCCGCACAATTCATGGTGGACACTGCGTCCACTTTTGACCCATTCGAGTTTCTGCTCACTGACCATTTCAATCAAGAATAATTAAGATAATGTATGCTGCGGAGGTAGAATCGTTGGCGTAAATTAGTCGTGAATTAGGATCGTCGCTTGGCTCTCGATCACGAGTTAACCACCATGTTTTGGGATTGTCGCACGGTTGCGAACTCTCAAGCGCATTTCAATTGAGCACGAGGAGTGGAGGCGCGGTGGGGGTGGACAGGAACAAGAGGCAGGCAAGGACAGGAGTAGGCCGCGACGAGCTGCTTGCATGTGTGCGCTGGTGTGGTCGCGCTGGCGTGCACACCGTATCGGAGACACTTGTAACGAGGCATCGTCCAGAAGGGACCATCAAAGGCCGCCATGAACTACACCGGCATCCTCGCCGCGCTTTTCTACGGTAGGCATCAGGTCACCTCCAAGGTCTCGTCAGGGGTGCGTCAAGCAGTACGATACGGGATCTTCGGTCCGTTAAGTAAAAATCACTCATTGCTGCTCCACGTGTCCCCATCGCCTTTCGTGAATCACACTTTGTAGTTTCCTGGTCGCAATTTCGTGTAGCGATCACGGGATTCCAGTCATTCTCGCAACCATCATTGTCGTGATCCACCCAGTGATGTGTTTTACTCCAACACTTCCCACCACCCCCTCCGCGTTTCCCCTCCTCCTCCCCCCGGGTGGGGCACAGCAGGGGTGATGTCGGTGGCGTCGGTGTTCATAAACAAGGCGCTGTTCCACGTGTACCGCTTCAAGTTCCCCTACACGCTCGTCTTCTTCCAGACGCTCTTCACTCTCGCGCTGCTCGCCGCCATGCGCCAGCTGCGCCTCATCCGCGTCACGCCCTTCCACCTGCACGTCCTCCGCCGCGTAAGTGTGTGCGGGAATGAGGACTTCTGGTGACTGGTCAGGGCCTATGAGTGAGTGTGTGGGGGAATGAGTGGTGTGTGAGCAGCAACTGGTGTGGCAACTGGCACGCCAGCCCTTTCCTTGTCTCCTCCCATTCCGTCTCCTCTTCGCCCATAGTCGCATCAGCCCCACCAACGTCCCTCTGTCCCTCTGTCTTGGCGTCCTCCCTCCCTCCATCCATGCCGCCAGGTATCGCTGCTGTCATTTGCCTTCCTGCTGAAGCTCCTCTTGGACATGGCGGCTCTCTCCCGAGTGAACATCCCCATGTACGGCGTCCTCAAGTCCGCCACCACGCCCTTCGTGCTGCTCCTCGACTTCCTCCTGCGCGCCAAGCGCGCCTCACCGCGCATACAGCTGGCCGTCTACACCACCGCGCTGGGGGGCGTGGTGGCGGGCACGGGCGACCTCACGTTCGACCTGCCGGGGTACGTGCTGGCGCTGTCGTCTGCGCTGGCGACGGCAGCATACGTGGTGATAGTGGGGAAGCTGGGCGAGGAGCTGCAGCTGGACTCGTTCACGCTGCTGCTGTACAACAACTGTTGGTCGCTGCCCTTCGCCTTCCTCCTCGTCGCTGCCAACGGCGAGCTGCCGGCTGTGCAGCGAGTGCTGCAGTCACGGGATGCTGTGTTCCTTGTGTGCTTCGCGCTGTCCTGCGCCTCTGCTTTCATACTCAACCTCGCCACCTACCTCTGCACACTCGTTAACGACAGCCTCACTACCAGCATTGTTGGTGGGTCCTCCTCCGATTACCTTCTCTCCCCCACACTGCCAATCTATGCCTTCCCCAGCCTTACCACTCCTCTCGGTCTGTTGTGCAGAGCTCTTCCCGCTCGCTTGCTTTCCTGGTTCCATTCGTCCATCTCTGTGTCCCCCCCCCCCCTCTTCCCCACAGGCCGCACCAAGTCCATTTTGCAGGGCTTCGGAGGGCTCTTTGCATTCGGGGATGTGCTGGTCAGTTGCTCTCACTCTCCCCAATACTCTCCGTTTTTACTGAACAGCTTCTGCTGTGTCTGCCTAGAACAGTTATTAAAACCCGCGGGCCAAGAAGTTCAACCTTAGGAAGGTTGGTTGGGGCGAGCAATGCAATTGGCCAAGATTTTGGGTGCCAGGTTCACAGTCAACCGTGGTTAGGAAGCTTGAACCAATTTGGGCTTTCTTGGCCCTCGGGTTTTAATCTGCTTTCATTGTGCTGCTACTTGAGTGCAGGTTAGCCCCACCAATCTCATAGGCCTGATAGTGAACTCAGGAGGAGTGGGGTGGTACGCGTATGAGAAGTACGTGGAGGCGAGGGCCAAACAGAAGGGAGCGTACACACTGTTGGCGGAGCACCACCATCACGATGCCGACAGCAGAACAACCATTGCCAGAGATGGCTCACAGGTGGGTTGGCGCATGTAGCCATAGGGTTCATTTGTGGAGCGAATGGGTGTATGGATGGGGAGTTTGGGTTTGTACTGATGTGTGGTTGGCGTTTGTGTCCAGTCATTCGTACAGGAGTATCTGTTGCACGTGTGTTCATGCTCCTTCACTGTGCACACATGGTGCACATGTTGCTTGTAACTGAACAAATCGTACAAATATTCCGTAAACTCTTTGTGTGGATGTGTGCATGGGTTCTCTGTGCGTGCGTGTGGGGGGGAGGGGGGGAGAGGGCGTGTAAGCGGCGTGGGTGTGTGTGGTTGTGGGCATGCGATTTTTCTGTGGCGGTCATTGCTTAATGCATACCCACTGTGGTTTTGTACTTACAGGTGACCATTGTTTTTGATGACCATAAAAAGGAAGACTTACCTGAGACACTGAATGGCAGTACTAGATCTCAAGATTCTTAACGTTGCTAGGCCACGTTTTGGAGATCATGGCCTGGGAGTGGGCACAATATTGATTCGCGGGAAATTGCACTCTGGATGAAAATGTAAGGTGGTTCAACATGTATGAATATTTTTAAAAGTTGTAACGCTTTTCAAAATTTTGTATTTTGAAAGCGAAGCGGCTTGTAATGTGGCAATGGTCATCGGCGAACCGCGCTAAACGCCCGTTTTGGAGTACAAAACGTGGGCTGGAGGTCATTTCCCTCCACCCACGTCTTTCATTTTCAAACGGCTTAGCCTAGTTTCCGAGTTCCCAATTCCAAGTTGGTGAAATTGAAGTCACTACCTCGTTTCCAGTCTCCGTCCACACTCCTTTCGGACATTTTCGCTCATAACGCGGCTACTATGGCACTGAACGGCGAGAACGGTGACAACGCCAACGCTTCAATTCGTCCCGACGACGGAAATATTACCCGCGAACCCGCGGGCGAACGCCGGAACAAGCGTCGGGCAGACGACGAGGAGTCGACCCCGACCGCCGTCGACATTCTGCTGTCCTACGTCGCTGGGGCACGCGCCCCTGGTGTGCCTCGAGCGCAAGTGGCCTCTGAGGGGCCTGAGGCGCCGGCAGTCAACGAGGGCGCCAAGTCAACGCCGGCCAGCGCGACCGGCACCCCCCGTCAGCGTCAGCGCCGCAGGCAGGCACACGCGCCTGACGCGAGGCCTTAGGCGCACGTGGGCCCTGACGCGCCTCAAGCCCCTGACGCGCCCTAGGCCCCTGACGCGCCTGTGGCCTCGCCTGTCTTCACATCGGCCCAACTGCAGCAGTTGTTGTCCCTGTTACAGCAGCAAGCTCCCGCCGTTACGGAAACCAACGCTACACCAAACGAAACGTCAATTTCTGCTAAAAGCGCGAAGGAAAAAAAGGAGACGGTGAAACGCGCTCGCACGGCAAAAATCGCACGCGCCGAGGGCACCACCGCCAAAGCTACCCCGGCCCCAGAAAATCCTGCCGACAGCGACACTTCCGACGACGAAGCTGGTGAGGCACCTGCCGATAATGCATTTTTTTCAACCACCGAGCACCTCCCCCCCCTCCCTACCTCCAACTCTAACCTCACCGCATCTTCCTTTAAGAACGCTGTTGTTCGTGAACAAGCCGAGCTCCTTGAGGACCTGCGCGCCTACCTGATGCATGCGGAACAGAAAGTGCGGCTCAACGAACCAGCAAGCGCCATCGAACTCCTCGAGGAGGCGCTCTCGCTCGTCAATAATCGTTTCAAGCTTCTCCACGTCGCCGATTACACGAATTTCCGTGTCGCTAACCGGTTCAAGATGTATGAAGAGAAGAGCTTGTCCATCTCGCGCCCATTCAAGCAAGCCATGGCGGACGTTGCGGCCATGGAACGCGCCCAAGGCAACCCCGGCCGCGCCGCACGAGGTGGAGGGCGAGGAACCGGTGCATTTGGCAACAAGCGTGGTCCACCAATGGACAACAACATCAGGAGCTTTCGTGGAACCTGCTTCAAGTGCGGACAGCCCGGCCACATGGCAAATATGTGCCCCGATAATGGGCGAGGGGCCCAAGGACCCGCGCCGGTGGTGTGACCCTATGAGAGGGAAACCACTTGGGGCGCCGAGAGCACGTTGCATGGGCAACATGGTGTGCTTAGGCCGATGGCCAGACCCTGCGGGGTGAGTAGAATGGCCGCCGGCCGACCCCTAGGGAAGGGAGTAGGACTAGGAGTCCTAGAACTTAGCCATGGGTGGCAGTCATGAGTTGTATGCATGTTAAAGCATGAAATATGGGCCGGAGTGGCAAGTAATGTGGGCAAACGTTGATGTGTGGCTTAATGAATGAGATTTCAAATATTGGAACCAGGATTATGGAAGCAAGCAGCCCTCAGAGAGTGAGGCCTAAGCGGTTGAGGTACCAAAAAGGGAGAAGAGGAGAAAGAAAGAAAGACAAGGAGATGTGTGAGATGATGAAGATGTTGACTCTTAAGGAGGCCACACTATTTGGCCAGCACCGGCCCACTTGAACGGGACACGAGAGGGCCACTTGCGCGACAAGCGCACAAGGAGGGCATACGAAGCATATTACTACGCGCAATTGACACGATGGGCAAAGAGCCCACGAGACAAGGCACGTTATCATAGAACATGTGCAAAGCACAATCCGGCAGCCCACCCCGAGCTCGTCGAACATCGAGAGCCCTCGGGTGCACATACGGCAAGCCTAAGGTCGTGTATATTAGGCGTTGACAGAAAAAAAAAAAAAAACACAAAAAAGCAACAACAACAACAAGGGAGAGATAGGCGAACATATCAATATGAAAGGGAAGCGGAAGGGTGGGTCAATGGCCCACCTCGTGAGGGTTCGGCCATACACTGCCCCGTTGTTCGCTAGTACATGCACTCGTATTAATAGCAACTAGAGCAGATTCAAAAAAAAAAAAAAAAAAAAAAAAAAAAACCGCCTTCACAGCCTGTGCCTCTTTTGCGACCCGTTGCATAGACCCACCGGATGGCGGGATGGGCGAGCGACACATCCCCTACGAATACGCAATCACAGATAAGCTCGTCACAAGGATGTGCGGTCGGCTACGCTTGTCATTCCCATGGTGGAGCTCATGGTGCGACAGCAGCTTCATACCCTCAGTGATACTCCACGGTTACTGGATGCCGTGGGAACTCACCCCCCTGGCGCCGTTCCAGCATGACAATCACGCGGGCGCACAGATCCACGCCCAGTTTACCAAACAGGCTATCAGCGAGCTCCTAGAAAGCGGCGCAGCTGCTCTTGCCCCCGCGGCTCAGGCCGTATGCATTAGCCCACTGAACGTGGTGGTCCAAAGAGAGAAATGCCGAGTGATCCTCGACCTCCGCCGAGTGAACCTGCACCTGCGCATTCCAAAATTCAAGTACGAGGGGCTCACTCGGGTTGCGGAGATCGCTCGCGTGGGCGACTGGATGTTCTCTATCGACCTAAAGTCTGGGTATCACCACGTGGATATTCACCCATCGTGCTGGAAGTACCTGGGATTTCGATTTGACGGAAAGACATACATATTCCACTCGCTCCCGTTCGACCTCGCGACGGCCCCATTCGTTTTTACACAACTTATTAAACAACTCGCTCGGCGCTGGCGAGCCATGGGCATACGGGTCATTCCTTATGTCGACGACATCCTCTTCCTTTGTGACACGGAAGCGAAAGCACGAGCCACATGTCAATCAATCATACATGACCTCAACAAGGCAGGGCTCGTGATCAACTCGAAAAAGTCGCATCTCCAACCGACCCAGCAGTTGCGTTTCCTGGGCGTTGAGTTAGACACTGACCGTGGTCAGTTCTCTATCGGCGCTGAACGTCGAGCCTCACTACTCTCCACCCTCCAAGTCCTTCAGAGGGAAGGAAAGGCAGAACGCAAGGTCCCAGTCCGTCACATCGCCAGAGTCACCGGCATGCTGGCTTCCATGTCACTCGCTCTTGGGGCGACGACACGAGCGTTCAGTCAAGGCCTACTGCAGGCAATCTAGCAGGCACCATCATGGAATAGTAAAGTGCCGCTGGACCCTATGGCGATTGAAGAACTGGACTTTTGGCGCCACGAGTTCGACAAATTCAACGGCGCCCCATTTCACGTCCCCAACAGCTACGATGCCGTCATCCATGTGGATGCCAGTGCACACAGTTGGGGAGCGACGTTGGACAAGTTCCCAGGACGGCGTATCGAGGAAAGTGCGGCAATGCCGAAGCATCTGCTAGAGTCATCCAGCACGCAGCGAGAGATAGATGGCGTTCTATGGGCACTCCAAACGTTTTCAGAAAGAATCCGCGACCAGCACGTCCTCGCAAGGACCGATAACCAAGGCGTCTTCTTCATCCTTCGAAAAGGTGGTTCAAGGCACACCAACCTTACAACGACGTGCAAGTCGATCATCCAGACATGCATGACTTTTCGGATTCGGCTCATGGTCGAATGGATCCCGCGCGAGCTAAACACACGGGCGGATGAACTCTCCAAGGCGCTCGATCGTGACGATGTCAGTAGATCTGCACTGTGGATGCCCGATTGATCCTGGAGAGGGTTACAGGCGCGTTCGCCTCGGGGGTTATGGCCGCACTGACCCGCTACTGAAACAAGCCCTTTTATCCCAATGGTCTAGTGGTTGGGATTCTGACATGGTAACAGAGCGGTCTCGGGTTCGATTCCCGGTGTATGCACATGTAGGCCGTTGCCGCTGTGCTTAGTCCTGGGCCTCCCAGTGTGGGGGGGTGTCAGAAGATCTGCACTGTGGATGCCCGATTGATCCTGGAGAGGGTTACAGGCGCGTTCGCTTGGGGGGTTATGGGCGCACTGACCCGCTACTGAAACAAGCCCTTTTATCCCAATGGTCTAGTGGTTGGGATTCTTACAGACGACTACTCACTAAAAACACCTTGGTTCCGGCTCATCGAGCGCCGACTGGGCCCGCACTCAATCGATCTATTCGCAAATGGGAGCAATACCAAGCTACCTCGGTTCTGCTCCAAAACACCGCACCCAGACGCAGCGGCAGTTGACGCATTCTCGATCCCATGGACCTCCGAGCAGGGATACTCATTCCCTCCACCGCACTTAATCCCAGCAGTGCTCCACCACGCGAAACGAACTCGCGCCGCCATCACTCTCGTCACGGCGTACTGGCCTGGCGCAAGTTCGTGGCCCCTACTGCAACCCTCCCCTCCTCAATGGGCCACCTACATTCACACCCACCTCCACCTCACGCACGGTAGCCAGTGCCTGACGGCAGGCAATCACTCCAGCGCCTTCTCCGGCGACGGTTTGCCGTGTAGTCCGATGGTCGCACTACGCGTGTCATTTACCTGCTAACTGCTTTTGCATACGATGCAGGATTGCTGGAAAAACTCAAGCATCGCCTACTAGAGATAACCACGCAAACGCGGGCCGACTCCACAATCCGTACATACGAGCCCTACTGGGTCAAGTTCCGCTCCTTTTGCCAACACCACGAGCTCAAGTTCCTCCCATGCACTGACATGACGCTCGCGCTGTACCTGGTCCACGCCATTCAACACAGGGCGACGGTGTCTGCAATTCAGTTGACATGCTCTGCAGTCAGCTTCGCACATCGGTCGATCGGGGCATCATGCTCGTCTATCGGCGCATTCACCTCTCAAGTCAGAGATTTTGCGAAGAAGCGATGTCCGCACCCTACCCGGGCCAAAGAACCCGTGTCGCTTCATCAAGTCCACGCGATGGCATCGGAATTTCTACAGTCAGACAACCCTCGCGAATTTCATAAGGGGCTAATACCGATCATAATGTACGCCGGGTTGTCAGAATATTATCTTATGCTCTAGCCTGTAGTGGGGTGCTCTATAGCGAGTACAACCCTTCTAGGGTTTGCTATTTGTATCCTCATTCCTGCTAGTTCAACCCTCTTCTTTCTTCTAAACTTTATCATGCTATCAGAGCAGGTCGATCCCCTTAGATCGATCCTGTGGGTGGGTTACCACCTCCTCGCTTCCGCTGCAACTTTTTCTTCCCGCCGTGCGCCCCGAGGCGCGCGGCGGTTTTCTTCCCGCCGTGCGCCCCGAGGCGCGCGGCGGTTTTCTCCCCGCTGTGCGCCCCGAGGCGCGCGGCGGTTTTCTGCCCGCCGTGCGCCCCGAGGCGCGCGGCGGTTCTCTGCCCGCTGTGCGCCCCGAGGCGCGCGGCGGGCTTCTGCCCCGTCGTTCACCGCGTCGCCCTCTGGAGGCGCCGCGACGGGCGACGGGGACCCGTCGCGGCCCCGCCGCCCCACTTCACGGCCCCGCCGCCTCACGTCGCGGCCCCGCCGCCTCACTTTGCGGCCCCGCCACCCTACGTTCGCGGCCCCGCCGCCCCACTTCGCGGCCCCGCCGCCCTTCTGTCGCGGCCCCGCCACCCTACGTTCGCGGCCCCGCCGCCCTACACCTGCGGCCCCGCCGTCCTACTTGCGCCCCGACCCCTTTTCCCATCGCCCGTCGCGGCTCCCTCGGGGGCCGGGACTTACCTGGGGGAGGGGGGCGAGCGCCGCCATCCCACCCTGCCTACCCGCCATCCCACCCTGCCTGTGTTAGGGTTTGGCGGTGGCAAGCAGGGGGTGGCGAGTATGGGGGTGGCACTTCCTCATTCCTCCCTTTGCTCCTCCTCCTCCTTCGTCTCCCACTGCTGCAGCTGTCGCTGAGGGGGGTGGATGTGTGGGAGACTGGGGTTTAAGGTTTAAGGGGGGTGCGTGGGAGTGGAGCTAGGGGTGTAGCAGCGGGTGTGTGTTAGGGGGGTGGGACTGTTTTGGGAAGTTGCACGGAGGTTGCCGTCGTGTCGCCAACAGCACCTGTATTCCGGGGACTTCGTCCGGTAGCCCAGTCGTAGCCAGCCGTGCCAGCCGCCCGTGGGTCCGTTGCTCGTCTGCCGCTACTTTAGCCGCGGGGCCTGTTACTCCTGTATTCCGGGGACTTCGCCCGGTAGCCGCTGTGCTAGTCTGCCTCCTGTTGCCCGTGTGTCTGCAGCTTCAGCCGTCGCCTCCTATCTCCTCTCCCCTCACTCTCTCTCCTCCTCACTTGCCCGTTGTGACTACCACTAGCTTTGCTCATAATTGTGAACTCTAAACTATTGCTTCTTGAACTTGTGCTCAGAATGTGTGGTGACATTGTGATCCACCCTGAGCTTGTACTGCTTTGCTTGCTCTGCTGATTACACCCCACTTTGGCTATGGGGGTGTGTCAGAATGTTATCTTATGCTCTAGCCTGTAATGGGGTGCTCTATAGCGAGTACAACCCTTCTAGGGTTTGCTATTTTTATCCTCATTCCTGGTAGTTCAACCCTCTTCTTTCTTCTAAACTTTATTACGGGTTTCTGCGCTACTCCGACCTTGCAGTCATCAATTGGCATGAGATTCATTTCGAGCCGGAAGTCATGTGGTTACTAATACGGTACCCCGTTCCAAGACGGATCAGGCAGGAGAAGGCACATGGGTCCCGGTAGCGGCAAGCCCTGGCCCCTTTTGCCCAGTTCGGTGCACCAAACGATTCATACACCTAGCACGATACGATCAATCGCAACAAGGTCCGCTCATCCGCGTCTTTGGAACAGAGGGTGGGAAAAACGGTGCCGCCAAGTCGCCATCCTACACCACAATCCGCAACGGGTGCAAAGAGACCTTCAACAAAATCGGTCTTACCGTATTCTCCCGGATAAAACACCCTAGGGTATTATGAAAACCACCGGAAAAAAATGGGGGGGGTCTCCTCAACGGAAAATCCTGTATAATACCCGGGTCTTATTAGATTGTATATTTTTTATGAAGCAGAAATGATGTGAAACAAAATGTGGGGTGTCACTTCACTTATAGATTGCTGATCAGTACCGCAAAACCGAGTACGATGATATTTTGGGCCACTTGGGCCACTTCACCTCTTGGACCACTTGCAGTGGAAGATTCGCCAGCGTGGCGACAGCGAGATTTTGGGATTCACCAGCATGGCGACAGCGAGATTGTGGGAGGGGGGATATCTCGGCTGATTCTAAGTGAAATTACATGCGAAATTTCTTCTAGGGAGTGATTTTCGCGAAATCCTCCCATAAAGAATCGGACTGGATAACAGCTATAATAGGAATCTGTAAGAAAAGGGGGGTGTTATAGAGAATCACCCCAAAAAGGGGGGTATAGTACTAATGGGGTCGGATATAACACCCACCCCGTATTAGCTACCCGGAGGTGTACAATTACGGGGGGGTGTTTTATCCGGGAGAATACGGTAGTTTCCAGCATCTCGGCACCCACTCTTTTCGGAAAGGCGCAACAACTGCCGCAGCCAACGCCGGAATATCAGACCGCATCCTGAAGTGATTAGGAAGGTAGAGCAGCGACACCGCCAAGGAGACGTACATCACGCCTGCCGCGGACCAACTTGTGGGGGCTTCGAAGCAAGTTCAAGACCCAGCACGCGCCCTCTCCCCCGCTCAACACGCCACGACAGTGGCGCGCCAACGGCGTCCAACAAGACACATGTCTTAGAAGACCCATTTGAAATGAGACGATGCCATTGCTACAACAAGAAAGCAAGCTTTCTAAAATATGAATATTTTTAAAAGTTGTAACGCTTTTAAAAAAAATTGTATTTTGAAAGCGAAGCGGCTTGTAATGTAGCAATGGTCATCGGCGAACCGCGCTAAACGCCCGTTTTGGAGTACAAAACGTGGGCTGGAGGTCATTTCCCTCCACCCATGTCTTTCATTTTCAAACGGCTTAGCCTAGTTTCCCGCCCACCCACCCCGTAGAACTGGGACCAATTATGGATAGTTGATTGCTTTAGAATAATTGCATGCTAGCTTGGACATGTCTGTACGATGCCATTTGAAATGAGACGATGCCATTGCTACAACAAGAAAGCAAGCTTTCTAAAATGTAATGCTATTATGGAAACATCTTACTAAAACTAATGGTTGATGATTAGAATAGTCTCTCCAAATCCTGCTTATTCGGTAATGTACTCTAGCAAATCCACGTGGACAGATATGGACTTCCTGTACCGCATATCCTACAACAATGTTCCCCCCACCCCCAGCTGTGCGAAAAAACCATTTCGCCGGTTGGGTGGATTCGCTCCCCGCAACTGGTTTACTGATCTCTGGTGGATCTTTTCAAGGTGCCCGCACGAACTGCTGCTGACAATGAGGCGTTTGCCCGCACGGTACTGGTCGATGTGCAAGTGACTGGATGAAGATCTTTCAATGTGGCTGATCGGACCGTGCGAACCTGGCCATGTCAGATCGTCACGCTTCTTTGCATTCCCATGAGTTCCGGCTACGTGGCGGTTCCGGCTCACACATGTGCTCTTTTGGCGCGGCAATGTGTCAGCCTGATCCAGTCGAGGAAGTGAACATATTTGTTTCGACCTTGTTCTAACTTCATTTCTCTAATCTCTCTTCTCTCTGTGTCCCTGTCCTCCACCATGGCACAAGCAGTGATTGTTGCTCAAATGGCCGAGTGTGCCGCCGTTCCGCTCGGTGTTCGCGCTCAGTCTCACTCCGTGGCTCGACGACTGAATCTGGCTAGCTCTCTGTCGGTCAAGCGTACCAGGGTTCTTCCATCGTCTAAATCTTTCGGTGTGTCTTTCACAGCTTTCTCAAGGCCCGAGGTCGTCAAGACCGAGTCCGCCTCTCGGCTGAAAATTGTCGCACAAGCCCAGGCAGGTGCTGGCGCTGGTTCCTCTCCGGAGCCCAAGGCAGTGTCAACGACTGAGGCAGAGGACGCGGCTTTCAAGCTTAAGATTGGTGGATATTTTGCACTGTGGTGGACGCTGAACGTTGTTTTCAACATCTACAACAAGAAAGTGCTCAACGCCTTCCCCTTTCCATGGCTATGCTCTACTCTCGCCCTTGCTGCTGGAGTCACGATCATGTTGCTCTCCTGGGCGACGCGTCTGGTGGAATTCCCCGACACAGATATGGACTTCTGGAAGACATTGTTCCCTGTCAGTATTTCATCCTACCTTAGATATCCCTCTTTATCGCTTCCTTCATTATGCCGTTCGCTAAATATCGCCATTGCTTGAAGCACACTCTCATCCTCTTGTGGTCTGATTCACCTCATCAGGTCGCCGTTGCCCACACAATTGGTCACGTAGCTGCAACCGTGAGCATGTCCAAGGTCGCTGTTTCCTTTACTCATATCATTAAGAGCTCAGAGCCTGCCTTCAGCGTTGTCGTCCAGAGCCTGATGGGCGAGCATTTTGCGCTTCCTGTCTACTTGTCGTTGCTCCCGATCATTTTTGGTTGTGGGCTCGCAGCTCTTACCGAGCTAAACTTCAACATGGGAGGTGAGTTTAATATATTTTATCGCCAGTAGCAATCTCTTGCAGGCCAAGTCTGAGTGTCCTTGTTTTGTGTGAGCAGGCTTTATGGGTGCCATGATCTCAAATCTGGCATTCGTTTTCCGGAACATTTTTTCGAAGAAGGGAATGAGCTCTGGCAAGAAGGTTGGAGGTCTCAACTACTACGCCTGCCTGTCAATCATGTCTCTCATCATCCTCATTCCGTTCGCCATCTGGCAAGAGGGCTTTCCGATGTGGACTGCCGGGTGGCAGACTTCTATCGCGGAGGTTGGGCCAAGAATTGGGTGGTAAGTGCTGAGCTAATCAATAATTCCAAACTGAAATAAAAGCTGTACGCCAAGTGAACTGAACCTCACGTATCTTGGATTACAGGTGGATTGCGGCTCAGAGCGTTTTCTATCACCTGTACAATCAAGTGTCCTACATGTCGCTGGATCAGATCTCACCGTTGACATTCAGCATTGGAAACACGATGAAGCGTGTGTCGGTCATTGTAGCTTCCATCATCATCTTCAGAACTCCAGTCCGATTGATCAATGGCGTTGGAGCGGCAATTGCCATTCTCGGAACGTTCCTGTACTCTCAGGTGAGCCTACTGCGGCTTGGTGATTTGTTTGTTGACTTTTGGCTACGTGCATGGAATTCTAAAAGGTTTTGTTCTCATGGCGATTTCAGGCGATTGAGGCCCAGAAGAAGGCAGCAAAGGCCAAGGCCGCACCTGCATCTTAGTTTTGCTGTTGATCTGTGGGATGTACAACGACTTCGCCCGTTGATGTACATGCCAGCAGGATGATTTTGTTTGCGCCTTGTTTCCAATCCAATGTATCCAATACGTACCTAGTACATTAGTATTTGTAGCAGTGTTGTTCATCTTGCACGACCCATTAGGTAGTTCTGTAGTCGGTGATTGATCTTACATGAATAATTCGTTTGTCCTGTTGTGGGTAGTTTCCCAGCCATAATAAAGACGATCTAGCGTTATTTAAGTGCCAACTAGTAATCACTTGCTCCAAGGAGCAGACAAAATGATACTTCATCCAGTACCACTCCAAAATTGTGTGCACAAAGCAATGATTTCCAAGCTGCCAAGTTTACGCCCTCTGAACTACCCTTACATTCAGTATAGTCTTTACATACCACCTTAATGTCCACAGTGTCAGCAGGAGACATTTGGATGTATGACTCCAGCCTGTTTGACTCACCATCTGCACAGAAACAAATTGTCAGCTGCCAATTTTGCTTGAATAGGGACATACTCAGTGTGACTGAACTACAATGCTGACCTTGAGAACGAATGCATGGGTACTTTGGAGGGCTGGCTAGCCACGTGTTAGTGATAGTGTCACGCATGTGAGACCGATCAGATGCGAAGAAACTGAAATAGTTGGAAGCACAAACTACTCTGTAAAACCTGCACACACCTCCAGTCAAGGTGAAAACAACAAGATCAGGTACCCAAGGCTGAGCAATGAGCATTGAGGCATCAGGTATGAGTAGTAGGAACGAAGGTGGCACAAGTCAAGCACACAGCCAACCTTTGATAAGTATCTTGAAGAGGAAGGAGGGAACTTCTCCCGGCCCACAGCGCCCGCTGCACATACTCCGTTGCTAGACTTGGAAAAGCCAATACCGTGTCAAGGTCCCACACATACCACTTGCGACACCTACTCCCCTCGGATCCTGCCCTGTCACCACCTCCCGCTCCAGTGATGTGCTTCACATGGATAGCGATGACATGGTAGTCCCAAACCACCAAACCCTGCTCCTCCCCACCACCCCCCCCTTCGCTCCCACTATCATCATCAGCACGACACATGCCGGCCTTCTGACACCACATGGGAACCTGCAGGCGGATGGCGCAGGAGAGCGGGTGAGCGGATTCGGTAGTTATTCACCAACAGAAAGGGAACAGAGTGAAGGGACATACGAAAGAGAAATGAAGTGGATGAAATGGAAGTATTATGATCCCAGGTGAACCGTGTACCTTGCGGTCAGGATTGGAAATGAAGACGACGGCCAAATCATCCACGTGAGCGACGCCTCGTGAAACCAGCGAACGACAAAGCAAATAAGCGTTTTCCTCACTGCAATGAATGGCAGGCCAGATAAGGGTGGGGTGGTTGGCACATTAGAGCGATCCATGTGGATAACCACACATGCAGAAGCTTGGATGGCAGCTTCCGCTTCTCGCACCAGTAACAAGAAGTGTAAGTGAAGTCAGATCGACGAGGCATGGACACGGCTTCTCCGTCTACCGGACACGGCGACTCTTGCTCCCCGTGCTGAACAGCAGACTCCATGGGCACCGTACCATTTATTTTTATTCCCGCTATTAATGAACCCTTAACTGTTTGGAGTGGAGAAGAGTAGAGGTAGACGAATCTGAAATTCCGTAACTCGCGGCAGCCTGAATGCTAGATGACATGACTACGAAACCTGAATGACAGATTGTTTCTTGCCTTGGCAAGAAATGGATGTGATGTGGTGTGCATTCTAGAGCGGTTCTGTATGGTGAAGGTCTGTAACGCCAAGAGTCAGGAGAAAAGGTGAGCATGCAATTTTGATTGGTGAAGGCCACGCCAAGGGCGTGTCCATTTCGTTCATTTCGGGTTTTTTTTCGTGCCAACGCACGTATCGAGGTTAAAAATGACTACCGTACCTAGAAACGAATGCATTGTGAGTGAGGAGTCGAACCATCCTGTAATTTCAGAAGCTCGGACACATTCCCCGCCACACGAATCAACAGTGCTCTGACAACGTTGAAAACGAGGTAGCAGTTTCCCTCGTCAATCATAGCTTGAAAATTTTTGTGCAGGCGCAGAGGGCGCTGGCGAGTAGAGCGAACCACTGACGAAATCGTGCAAGCGATACAAGGGAAACGAGCTGTAGTGGCCAGGACGCGGTGCTGTACCCTTGCTCGTCGCGTCCCTGCTGATTCCAGTAACGTGAGTCAGACGACTCTAGGTACGTGCATGGGGCGTGCCGTCTTGCGAACATAAGACGATTGTGTCCGCTGGACACGTTCCATAAAGGGTTACCACAAAAAATGTGGTAAATGTACGAGCTGGACCCCCCCTAAAGTCACAACCGATGTGCCAGAGTGAGCGAGGCGTGAGTTGGCGACAATGGTGCGCACTTTTGCGATGACGCATCGCCCGTGCGAACTTGCTGTTTCTGACAACCCCTCGCATCAGCTTGGTGATGCCATTCTGGGCCCTGCATACAAGCACACTCGGACCCACCAAGGTGAATGGTAAGGTTGAGAAGAGTTCAGGGCATCCCACAAGTGGTACTATCTGGAACACTATCCCCACCCCAACACAAACATGAGTGCTTTGAAGCTCAAACATTCCTGGTCGCCTGAAACGCCCGCTGAGCCAGGAAACCTGTTTCTGGACATCCGTTTCCAAAAAAAATGCCGAACACGAAATGGACATGTCAACGGAGGAGCCACATGGAGCCGCAAATGCAGCGAGATGGAGGTTCTCAATATTCGGAAGTTTATTTATTTTTACACAGCACGTGTTTGCCACATACCAGGCCACCATCAATAAGCAAGACAGGGGAGTAGCAAGGCGTGAGGTTATTGCTAGCTCATTATTACCAGCTTCCCTACGAGTAGTGGTACTCCACAATGGTCCATGACTTGCCGAGAGAAATGATGAGGCTTGGAGAAGACCAAGTGATGGTGAGACTGCATGTGGATTAGTAACAGAATATTCAGTGTTATGGTAACATCTCATGTAATGTCGCTACTTGTTCCATGGCATGCGCAATGTACTTTCGAAAGCCATATATCGAAACATGATCAGCGAGCTAACAGAAAAAGTCTACTAGGCAACCTTACAACCCATTCTCGACGCGGGACGGAGGCACATGCATGTTGTTAAGTTATTTTATATATGGTCAGGGAAAGAGAGGAAGGGGATGAACGATTGCCTGCAATACAGTTGGGGAGCTGCTAGCCATCCAACCAGCCTCAGCCGCTGAAATTAAACAGAGAACTTCCACTCCTTCTCCAGCAACAATGCTGGGCGCCTCCCACCATGCTTGCAGTGGAAGACGGCAGTGACCTGCAAGCATCAAGGGGACAAATCGGTTAGAAATAATCAGGACAACATCAACATCACTGGCGATATTGTATGGCCGCTTACCTTGAAAGGACCACCTTCATCGGTGTGCTTGTGGTACTCGACTTCAGCCCGCTCCCTGTGGTGCCAGTATGACACCTCCAGGTGATCCCGTTTCAACTTCTGCTTGATCTGAAATCCCAAGGCCCATTTCCCCTCGCCGAAGTCGTACAGTGGCTTAAAGATGGTGTCCTTGTACCTGTGCTCTAATCGCACCAAAGGACCATTCTTGGCAAAATTGTGTTTCACGACCGCCTTAGTGTCATCGGTCAGTGCGGTGTTTGCCTCCAGCGTCGTCACACCAGGGCCGTGGTGGTGGACGAAGGTAAGATGCACGAACTTATCGGCCACTTTCGTGTGCCCGTGGAATTGGAACCTTGTGGACTGCAGAGCGAGGAGTAGGGAAAGAAGGATTTTAGCTCATACCCTGACATCAAAAGCTGAAAGGACACTCTTTTATGGGCTGCATGGGTTCAAGCCTACCTTCTTGTGGAAATGATGCTCCAAAATGAAATGACCAGGCTTTTCCACGGCGACTTCTGTATCCTCCTTGATACTTCCAACATCCCTCAAGGTCTTGTCCGTCAATGAAAGCTTCAGCTTCAAATCTTCCAGCCAAACGCCTACAGTGGCCTGAAACTTTTCAGTCTCAGAATTATACTTCGACTTGAGAGTGAGCTTCGTCATGGCGGAAACCAAGGAACACGACTACTAGGCAGCTGGATGAATGGACAGGAATGTGGAAGTCAAGAGGGATGAAAATGCTTCAGAATGGGCGCTTCTGAGGGAAATTTGGCATTTTGACGTCGTGGAATGGCACAGCATGTTGTGCTTGGAGGGGAAAGTCCTTGCCAGACCTGCCCGTTTACATGGGAGTTACCGACGTAAGTTATTTTTATCGAAGAGTTCATTATGAAAATGCACAGCAGGAAGTCAAAACTTTGTGAAGTGACTTGCTGTAAATCTGATGGTGCCACACTTTCACAAGTTCGGGGTCAGATCTAACCATAACAAACGGTAACCAGACAGGCACGGATGACGTGGATCCTGGAGTGTCAGCATGATGGGCATGACCTGGAAACTGGTTCCACTCCACGTGGAAGCATTAGTTTCCTTCACAGAGCCTCGTCAGAGCTGACGTGCTGATGAGGCCACAATCCACTCCAGCCAATCTCAAGGCCCAGCAGTAATTTTTGTGATTCTCTCCGCTGCATCTCTGTACTTTTTGCAAACAGACTCGGTATTGTAGTAAGAGTGCCAGCATGTACCTTCCATATGCGATTACTACCTTGTTTGGGCAAATTACGTGAAAATATTATATTTGAAGGGTTTAGGACCGTGGAGGTTTTCACCAGAAGGGTTTGTGCCTCCAAACATAGCTCTTCATTTTCCGTGTCCAACTGTTCTCCATTGTCACCCCGTTTTACGTCAGCAAACCTCGTTTCCGCACTTATGGCGCGGAAGAAAGGCGCCAAGCGCGGGGACGATAACGAGGACGAGGCATCTGCAGAAGCCCCGGCCGTAGAGCAGGAAACCAAGAAGGGCGGTAAGGCCGCCCGGAAGAACCGCAAAGGGAGGGCCGGAGACGATGACGACTACGAGCCTCCGCCCGATGACGTGGATGATGAACCAGTCTCGTCAGTCAAAAGCAAGGGTAAGGGCAAGAGTGGTGCGTCCGGGTTCGCTGCGCTGATGGACGCAGAGAATGGCGGGACGGCGGAGGATGCGGAGGAGGACGAGGAGGAGGAGGAGAGGGCGAGGGGTAGGCGAGGCAACGGAGGGAAGAAAGCAGGACAGGACGAGGATGACGAGGAGGAGGCGCGGGGAGGCGGGGGCGGGGGAGGGAAGAAGGGCGGAAAGAAGGGCAAGAAAGGTAAGAATCGTCGCGACGACTTCGACGACGATTTCGCAGACCCCGTTGCGGACGCAGCGGCGGAAGAGAACGGCAAACCCGTCGCCGCTAAACCCGAGGAGGGGGACAGCGATGGGACAGTTGGGCCGGGGTATTTGGTGGTGGGGGAGATCAAATCGGCGCGCAAGGTGAAGAAGGCCGACAAGCTCAAGGCGTGCCTCGTCGACATCGGCGGCGCGTCGCCCATTCCGATCGTGTGCGGCGGGACCAACGTGCGCGCGGGGCTGCGCGTGATCGTGTGCCCCGCGGGGTGCGCCGTGCCGTCGACGGGCGCGGCGGTGAAGAAGGCGAGCATCAAGGGCGAGGAGAGCCTCGGGATGATCTGCTCGCGCGCCGAAATGGGGTGGGCGGACGCCGCCACCGAGGTGGTCGAGCTGGACGCGGGCGCGTTCAACGTGGGGGATCGGGCGCCGCTGGAAGATCTCAATGTAGGTGCTGGTGACGTGGCCGAGGAGGCGGATGACGTGGCAATGGCGTTCACGGGGAAGAAGAAGGGGAAGAAGGGGAAGGGGGGGAAGGGGAAGAAAGTGGAGGAGGAAGAGGAGGACGAGGAGTCAGTGGTGACGAGCATTCCGCGCGACGAGGAGGAGGCGGAGGAGGATTCGATGGCTATGGCGTTCGCGGGTAAGAAAAAGAACAAGAAGAAGGATAAGAAGGGACGGAAGCAGCAGCAGGAGGAGAACGACGAGGAGGAGGAGGAGGCGAGGGAAGAAGTGGCGGTGGAGGAGGAGGAAGAGGAGGAGGTGGTGTCGAGTAAGAAGGCGAGTTCCGCTCTGCAGCTGCTGGCGGCGCTGGGCGACGAGGGGGGTGAGGAGGACGAGGAGGAGAAGGAGGAGGAGGAGGAGAAGGAGAAGGAGGAGGAGGAGGATGAGATGGCTGTGGCGTTCAGCGGTAAGAAGAAGGCGAAGAAGGGCAAGAAGAAAATGACCTCCGCGCAGCTCGACGCGCTCATGGCGGAGGCCGACGGCGACGCGGCGGAGGCGGGGGCGCAGGAGGCGGAGGAGGCGGAGGAGCGCAAGGAGGAGGAAGGGGGGAAGGGGAAGAAGGGGGGGAAGGCGGCGGCGGGGGAGGACGACATTGACGCGCTGCTCAAGGAGCTCGAGGCGCCCAAGGCGGGGGGCGGGGGGGGCAAGAAGAAGAAGAAGGAGAAGGAGGGGAAGAAGAAGAGTGGGCGCACGGCGGAGGAGGAGGCGGAGCTCGACCGCATCCTCGCGGAGCTCGACGCGCCCGCAGCCCCGCCCGCGGGAGGGCAGGCGCCCGCCGCCGATGGGAAGGCGGACAGCGCTGCTGCTGAGGCGGAGGCGGGCAAGGCAGACGCCGCCGCTGCTGGTGATGCTGCTGCGGAGGGGGAGGGGGAGGAGGAGGAGGCAGGGGGGGGCGGTGGAGGGGCGGAGTCAGCTGCAGCGAAGAAGAAGAAGAAAAAGAAGGAGAAGGAGAAGGCCGCCAAGGCCGCCGCGGCAGCCGCCGCCGCTGCTGCTGCTGCAGGCGCGAAGGAGGAGGAGGCGGCGGCGGAGGGCGCGGGGAAGGCGGTTGACCTGAAGAAGCTGCCGAAGCACGTGCGCGAGATGCAGGAGCGGCTGGCGCGGCTGAAAGAGGCGGAGGAGAAGCGCAAGCGCGAGGAGGAGGAGCGCGAGCGCAAGGAGAGGGAAGAGGAGGAGCGACTGGCTGAGCTGGAGAGGCAACGCGAGGAGGCGAAGCAGCGGCGCAAGCAGAAGGAGAAGGAGAAGAAGGAGCAGCTTAAGAAGGAGGGCAAGCTGCTGACGGGCAGGCAGAAGGAGGAGGCGAAGCGGCTGGCCGCCATGCGCGAACAGCTGCTCGCGCGCACTGGGGGCGCCGAGGGCGACGAGGGCGCTGGGGCGGGCGCGGGGAAGAAGCGCGGTGGCGTGTTTGACCGGCGGAAGAAGGGAAAGCAGCAGCAGCAGAAGCAGGAGGCGGGTGGGAAGGAGGAGGGGAAGGAGGACGCGGAGGAGGGTGGCGAGGAGGAGGCGAAGGTGGAGGAGGGTGCGGATGGGAGTGTGGTGGAAGGTGTTAGTGAGGCTGTAGAGAAAGTGGAGGAAGCAGCAAATGAAGAAGAGAAGGAGGAGAAAGAAGAGGAGAAGAAGGCGGAGGTGAAGGAAGAGAAGGAGGAGGTGAAGGAGGAAGAGGAAGAGGAAGAGGAGGAGGAGGACTGGGATGCAAAGAGCTGGGATGCGGAGGCAGTGAAGATACCCAAGCTTAAGGGCGCGTTCGATGAGGAGGAAGAGGAGGAGGAGGAGCAGCAGGTTAGTGCTGCTGCTGCTGCTGCTAAACCTGCTGCCAAGGCCAAGCCGGCAGACGGGGCTTCCAAGAAGGCTGCTGCTGCTTCCAAGGCGAAGGGTAAAGCGGCAGGCGGCAAGGGGAAAGTGGAGGAGGAGAGTGAGGATGAGGAGGATAGCGAGGAGGAGGACGATGATGATGATGATGAGGAGAGTGACGAGGAGGAAGGCGAGGAGGCGCGGAGGATGGAGGCGAGGGAGCGGCGCGAGCAGCGGAAGCAGGAGGCGATGAAGGCACGCAGCGCGGAGGACCTGCGGTCGCCCATCTGCTGCATCCTGGGGCACGTGGACACCGGCAAGACCAAGCTGCTCGACTGCATCCGCCGCACCAACGTGCAGGAGGGCGAGGCGGGCGGCATCACGCAGCAGATCGGCGCCACCTACTTCCCCATGGCCAACATCCGCGAGCGCACACGCGAGCTCAAGGCCGACGCCAATCTGCGCGTGCCGGGGCTGCTGGTCATCGACACGCCCGGCCACGAGTCGTTCACCAACCTGCGTGCGCGCGGGTCCGGGCTTTGTGACATTGCGATCCTGGTGGTGGACCTGATGCACGGGCTGGAGCCGCAGACCATCGAGTCGCTCAACCTGCTCAAGATGAGGAAGACGCCCTTCGTCGTTGCCATGAACAAGGTGCGCGTGAGGGGGGGATGGGAGGGATGTGGGGTGGATGGGTTGGCAGACTCGTGCTGCCATGTGACGTGCTGTTTCAGAGCCTGCTTGTGTGTCTGTGCATGCCATGCCATGCTATGGCCTCAGGCCTTATGATGGGTCTCGTGCCGTAACATAACATCCCCTGCGCATTATGCCATGCACATCTTATCCACCCCCGTGCGCCAGGTGGACCGCATATACGGGTGGAACGCGACGCCCAATGCGCCCATCCGCGCGGCGCTGAAGAAGCAGACGAGAGACGCCATCCTCGAGTTCGACCGCCGCACCGACCAGGTGCGTGCCTGAGAGGGAGGCAGGGGGGCAGGGGAGGAGGGGGGGGGGCAGAGGGGGTGGGGTGCAGTGGGGACAGGGGGCAGGGGGGTGGGGTTGGCGGGGAGTGCATGCATGGGCAGAGGGATGGAGCAGAATGCTATGAGGGGTCGTTCCTCGCTCGCTGCTGACACTCGCCTCCAATCTGCCGTCTCCTCATTCATTGCAACCCCTCGTGTCTTCCCTTCTCCCCGCCATCATGTCTGTGCGTGGCTGGCAGGTGATGCTGGAGCTGAAGGAGCAGGGGCTGAACGCGGCGCTGTACTACAAGAACCCCGACATCCGCAAGTTCATCTCCATCGTCCCCACCTCCGCCATCAGGCACGCTCTCCTCACGCCCCCGCCCTCATACACCCCTAGTAGCCACCAAAACACACACCGGCGCTCACTCTGCCACCCACTTTCTCCCGGGCCCCACTCTTAATGGCCGCTCCCCCATGCCACATTCCCCTTCCATCAACCGCCCACTCTCTCATGCCCCCTCCCCCCCCACCTCCCCTCCCGGCAGTGGCGAGGGCGTACCGGACCTGCTGCTGCTGCTGGTGCAGCTGACGCAGAAGCTGATGGAGGAGCAGCTCATGTACGTGGCGAGCGTGCAGTGCACCGTGCTGGAGGTCAAGGTCATCGAGGGCCTCGGCACCACCATCGACGTCGTGCTCGTCAACGGCGTGCTGCACGAAGGGGACCAGATTGTCGTGTGCGGCCTGCAGGTGAGGGGTGGCTGCCGGTGGGTGAGGGAGAGTGGGCGCTGTGGGTGGGTGAAGGTCATGGAGGGGCGTCCATGGTGCTGTGCTGCATGAGGGCGACCAGATCGTTCTGTGCGGCCTGCAGATGCGGGGGAGGAGGGTGAGAGGGCGTTGACAAGGCATATGGCTCTTGTGCTCTGGTTGGACCTCGCGCCTTGGCGTGAGGCAAAGAGGGGAAAGGCCACAAGGCAGGCAGAAGGAGGGAAGTGCCCGTGTCTGGTCTGTATATGGTCTGGTTCTTTCTACATGTGATGATAGTTCACCTTCCACTGTGTGCAAGCGTGTGTTGCGGTGTGCGTGCCCGTGTCATTGTGCTGCAGGGTCCCATAGTGACAACCATCAGAGCGCTGCTGACGCCACACCCCATGAAGGAGCTGCGAGTCAAGGTCAGTCACCCTTTTCGTCCAGTCTGTGCCTTCACCTCCATATCATCGCTCCCTCCATCTTGCTCTTGCTCCTTCCCCGGTAGATGTGGCAGGCTCATCTCCCTTCTGCTGCTTGCTCCACCTGTTTGCCTACACTGCTTCCTTGCACCACACACATTCCTGCTCCATGCTCAATTTCTCCTCAACTCCAACCCGTTCCTCCCGTTCATTCTCTCCTTGTCGCTCCTCCTCGCTCTATAACTCTCTCTCCGCCTTCCTCCCCCATCCAGGGCTCGTACATGCACCACAAGGAGCTGCGGGCAGCGCAGGGCATCAAGATCACGGCGCAGGGGCTGGAGCACGCCGTGGCGGGCACGCAGCTGTACGTGGTGGGACCAGACGACGACGTGGACGAGCTGAGAGAGGAGGCCATGGCGGACGTCAAGGGCGTGCTGTCGCGCGTCGACAAGAGCGGAGAGGGCGTGAGCGTGCAGGCGAGCACGCTGGGGTCGCTGGAGGCGCTGCTGGAGTTCCTCAAGAGCCCTGCCGTGAAGATCCCCGTGTCTGGCATTGCCATTGGGCCGGTGCACAAGAAGGACGTGATGAGAGCGAGTGTGATGCTGGAGAGGAAGAAGAAGGAGTATGCCGTCATCCTCGCCTTCGACGTCAAGGTGCGTCATCCTCGCCTTCGACGTCAAGGTGCGTCATCCTCGCCTTCGACGTCAAGGTGCGTCATCCTCGCCTTCGACGTCAAGGTGCGTCATCCTCGCCTTCGACGTCAAGGTGCGTCATCCTCGCCTTCGACGTCAAGGTGCGTCATCCTCGCCTTCGACGTCAAGGTGCGTCATCCTCGCCTTCGACGTCAAGGTGCGTCATCCTCGCCTTCGACGTCAAGGTGCGTCATCCTCGCCTTCGACGTCAAGGTGCGTCATCCTCGCCTTCGACGTCAAGGTGCGTCATCCTCGCCTTCGACGTCAAGGTGCGTCATCCTCGCCTTCGACGTCAAGGTGCGTCATCCTCGCCTTCGACGTCAAGGTGCGTCATCCTCGCCTTCGACGTCAAGGTGCGTCATCCTCGCCTTCGACGTCAAGGTGCGTCATCCTCGCCTTCGACGTCAAGGTGCGTCATCCTCGCCTTCGACGTCAAGGTGCGTCATCCTCGCCTTCGACGTCAAGGTGCGTCATCCTCGCCTTCGACGTCAAGGTGCGTCATCCTCGCCTTCGACGTCAAGGTGCGTCATCCTCGCCTTCGACGTCAAGGTGCGTCATCCTCGCCTTCGACGTCAAGGTGCGTCATCCTCGCCTTCGACGTCAAGGTGCGTCATCCTCGCCTTCGACGTCAAGGTGCGTCATCCTCGCCTTCGACGTCAAGGTGCGTCATCCTCGCCTTCGACGTCAAGGTGCGTCATCCTCGCCTTCGACGTCAAGGTGCGTCATCCTCGCCTTCGACGTCAAGGTGCGTCATCCTCGCCTTCGACGTCAAGGTGCGTCATCCTCGCCTTCGACGTCAAGGTGCGTCATCCTCGCCTTCGACGTCAAGGTGCGTCATCCTCGCCTTCGACGTCAAGGTGCGTCATCCTCGCCTTCGACGTCAAGGTGCGTCATCCTCGCCTTCGACGTCAAGGTGCGTCATCCTCGCCTTCGACGTCAAGGTGCGTCATCCTCGCCTTCGACGTCAAGGTGCGTCATCCTCGCCTGCGACGTCAAGGTGCGTCATCCTCGCCTTCGACGTCAAGGTGCGTCATCCTCGCCTGCGACGTCAAGGTGCGTCATCCTCGCCTTCGACGTCAAGGTGCGTCATCCTCGCCTTCGACGTCAAGGTGCGTCATCCTCGCCTTCGACGTCAAGGTGCGTCATCCTCGCCTTCGACGTCAAGGTGCGTCATCCTCGCCTTCGACGTCAAGGTGCGTCATCCTCGCCTTCGACGTCAAGGTGCGTCATCCTCGCCTTCGACGTCAAGGTGCGCGCGCTGCCCTGCACACAGCAAGCGCCACCGCTGACGTTCATTGGCCTTACTGCCTTCCCCGCTGTTACTCACAGTCCTTTCAACTTTTGAGACGTCTCAAAAGCCGCTGTTACTCACAGTCCTTTCATGCCACCTTGCTCTCTTCATCCAATTCCCCTTCTCTTACCCTGGCTGCACGTGTGCTTGGCAGGTATCAACGGAGGCGAAGGAGATGGCGGAGGAGCTGGGAGTGCGCATATTCACAGCAGACATCATCTACCACCTGTTCGACCAGTTCACCGCTTACATGGCGGGCGTCAAGGACGAGAAGCGCGCGGAGGCGGCGGAGGAGGCGGTGTTCCCGGTGGTGCTCAAGATCATGCCCAATTGCATCTTCAACAAGAAGGACCCCATCGTGCTTGGCGTTGAGGTGCTGGACGGCATTGCCAAGGTGAGGAGCGGTGCTGGACGGCATTGCCAAGGTGAGGAGCAATGCTGGACGGCATTGCCAAGGTGAGGAGTGGTGCTGGACGGCATTGCCAAGGTGAGGAGAGGTGCTGGACGGCATTGCCAAGGTGAGAGAAGGGAGGGAAGGGGGGGAGCGTGGGGGTCCATGAGGGAGTTGGGGTGCAAGCGGTGGGTAGTCATGAAAGAATGTGCTTGTCATGCTGGCGGGCAACATGCTGAAACACATCCCCCCCTTGTTTCCCGCTGTGGCAGGTGGGCACGCCCATATGTGTGCCGGGGCGGGAGTTCATAGACATAGGCAAGATAGCATCCATGGAGAAGGACCACAAGATGGTTGAAACCGCCAAGAAGGGCCAGGCCGTCGCCATGAAGGTAAGCCGCTCGCATGCACCTACCCTCACACCCTCCCGTGTCTGCTCTCTTGCATGCCTTCTCGATTGGCCTGCCCTCTTTCTCTCTCCCTCGCCCTTTGCACCATCTCTGCCTCTGCCTGTGTTGCCCTGCTTCACAGCGCTCCCCACTGTTGGCTTGCCCTCACCTGCCTGTTTGTGTGCACGTGTGGGCATGAGGGGGTCAGATCGTGGGGGTGAACGCGGAGGAGATTCAGAAGTCGTACGGGCGGCACTTTGACAGCGATGATGAGCTCGTCAGCCGCATCACGCGCAACTCCATCGACCTCCTCAAAGAAAACTACCGCGTATGCCCCCCCCGCTCCCCTCACCTCCACTGCCACTCTTCGCCTTTGCGACAATGTCCCTCCCACTCCACCTTGTTTTCTCTTGTCAGACCTGCTCAATTTTTGTCATCCTGCCTCCCCATCTATCATCTTCTGTTGCCTCATCTTCTGTTGTTCGAATCTCTTCGCATTCTCTTGCCATCCTCTCTCCCCTCTGCCCCCCCCGTGGCATGGACCAGGACGACTTGAGTCGAGAGGATTGGATCCTGGTGGTGAAGCTCAAGAAGCTCTTCGACATTCCCTAGGCAATGGCACGCGTCCTGCTGCAATGATTCTTCCCTTGGTGCACTAAGCCTGAAGAAGATAACTCTGGAAAAATGGTGTTAGATTGCAACCCTGTGTACACTCCCAACAGTCAATCCAATCATTTTTTCTGCAGAAACAATGGCTTGAAAACACGCTAGAATGCCCACACAAGCTGGTGATGACAACAAACATCACGGAATGGAACGCTAACTCCAAATCCCGCTTGCAGAAGTCACATGAGAAGTAGCATGAGAGCACTGAGCATGAACGCATTTGCAATGAAATAAACAAACACCCGCATCGCATGAGCACATACGCACACACATGGGCATGCCATGAATGCAAATAGATGTGCACCCCTTGCAGGTGCAGGAGATTACGGTACTACGGTATGCCCGTTTGTTGTCAACATCCCATATTGATGCACTCCCCTCTCCGTTCCTCTGCTTGTTGGTCGCAGTACAACCATGGTTTATGTCATGTGAAAAAACAATAAATTCACTAAAACGTGTACAGCTAGTTAGAATTGTCTCTAGGATCCTAGTATATGCATAGTATGGTGTCGTTTTTCCCTAGCAGCATGCTGCACCGCGTGGCTGACAGCAGGAGGCAAACTAGGTTCCTCTTCTTCTCCATGCCGCCACGCCTCGGCTTATTCGCTGTTGAGTCGCTGCACGCCGCGCTCTTTAGGGCTTGAAGGCGGCCTGGGCGGATTCCGCCTTGGTTTGCGCAGACTTGAGCAGGCCGAGCGTGGCCTTATCGGTAGCGGGTTTGAGCATAACGGAGACCCCTTTGATGGTGGAGATGGCGTTGGTGATCTGCCCCGGTACCAGCGTGCGCTGCCCCTGGTCGATCAGAATGCCCGCATTGCGCAGCGCCTGCGCCGTGTCGGTCAAGCTCTTCTTGTAGGTCTTCACGGTCAACACGGCGTTCGCCTCGTCCACCAACTTCGCCGCCGCCGCCAGGTCCGCCTTCACGGCCGTGTCCGCCGCGCTCACCTTCTTCGGCGGCACCTTCGCGCCCACCGGGGGGACCTGGGGCGTCTTAGGGGACTTTTTGGACTTGGGGGCTGGCGAAGCGGGGGGAGAAGCGCCGACAGGCGTCTTTGGGGTCTTGGGGGACTTGGGGGTCTTGGGGGACTTGGGGGTGGTGGTGTCGGGGGACGGGGAGGGCGGGGGCGGCGGGGATGGCGTGGGCTCGGGGGAAGCAGGGGGCGACTTGGAGCTCTTAGCTTTCTTGGCCGCCTTCTCCGCTTCCTTCTTGGCCTTCTCCTCCTCCTTCTTCTTCTTCTTCGCCTCCTTCTTCGCCTTGTCCTCGTCGTCGTCGTCGTCCAACACGCGCCGCGTCGACGATGCTAACGACGACACAGACGCGCCTGAGTCGGTTAAATCGCCTGGAGAAGGGAAAGGAGAGAAAACGTCATATGATTGCGATGATTTTGTGAAGAAAATGAGCTTTACTGCAGGGACCGTGGACAGGGAGGCGGAAAACGGTTATTTTTTGGGAAAGGACTTTACCTGCATAGCTAACGACGTCAGAGGAGGAGAATCCCACGAGAGAAATGTCAGCAGAGACATTGACGAAGTCTGAAGTCACGAGGAGAGCGAGGAGCGGGAGCGTGCAGGCAAGGGCAAGAGTTCTTGAGATCGCCATTCCGGAGGCTAAAGGTAGTTGCTTTGAGTGATTTGAGTAAATGGATTTTGAGTGAGCGAGGGGCGAATTGAATGAATGTTGGATGAACGGGGTCAAATTTATGTGCTTCAGAAATGCCTTGATCGCATTTGGGTTGTTTCTGGCTGTTGTGTGGAGGCGCCATCCAAAAAAGTTGCGCGAAATCTTCGCAGCACCCTGGCGTCGCACGTCACGGCGGCCAGCTTTGGCTGGGCGAAGGCGAAATGACGGGCGAGCTGGGCAGGTGCTCCGGACGTGGCCAGCGGGATAAATTTCGCAAGGGGATGGCGAAATGGGATGGGAGGAAGATCAGCCCGTTTGCTTTTGTGGATGTTTCGCACAAAAAAGAAATCGGTGGTCAGCGCAGTCAACTGGAATACGCTTACCGCCAACTTCGTTTGAAACGAAATCTATGGACGCGGTTCTCTTGGAACGTTTGCGTGGGCAACGCAGATGGGGAAATTGACAGCAGCAAACGGTTCAATACAAACTTCCAGGGGGGTTACCTTCAGGCTGAATAAGATGAAGGCTATTTGGTGGAATAAATATAGCAGCCGACTATGTTTGTTTCTAACTAGCATGTGAACCTTCAGGTCTAAACTCCACTCAGTGTGCATGTCCATCATAATCAGACATCCTCCTCATTGGAGTCCGTGAGGCGCTTCCCTTCAGTGACACCACCATCATCCCCGTCCATGTCGTCCATCTCATCCTCCACCGCATTCATCTCCTGCTCCACCAGCCGCGAATACATGGCATGCAGCTTGCGGCTCTTGAGCCACGTCATCAGCGCCATCACGCCAAACACCACGATCATCACGCCTGACACAGCGAATACCACAATGTACTGCCAGCTCAGCTTATCCGATGGCACATACTTGATCTTGTACGTGCACTCGCCAGCGACCTCATCAGCCGGCAGTTGAACGGAGCCTGGGAGCGACTCGTTGCAGAGCATGGGCTGGTGCCACAGGTAGGTGACGTTGTGCTTGCCGTCGTCATCGGCACACTCGCCCTCCAAGCGGTCGTAGTCGTCCGCCGTGCACGGCTCACACATCACATCGTCCGGCAGGGGCGTCATAGGGTTCGGCTGACACACCTGGAGAGGCACGTGGACGCAGAGAGAGAGAGAGAGAGAGAGAGAGAGAGAGAGAGAGAGAGAGAGAGAGAGAGAGAGAGAGAGAGAGAGAGAGAGAGAGAGAGAGGGCAGATGGGTGGCGGATGAGAGGGTTGCGCATGGGTACAGGGACAGCAAAGGGAGCCATAATTGTACTAGAGTGCCTGTACTCACCCGAGGGTGCCTGTACTCACCCGAGGGTGCCTGTACTCACCCGAGGGTGCCTGTACTCACCCGAGGGTGCCTGTACTCACCCGAGGGTGCCTGTACTCACCCGAGGGTGCCTGTACTCACCCGAGGGTGCCTGTACTCACCCGAGGGTGCCTGTACTCACCCGAGGGTGCCTGTACTCACCCGAGGGTGCCTGTACTTGTACGTGACGCGCTTGTTCTCGTTGCACCCAGCGGCCTCCACCTTGACAATGTCTTGCTCGGAGCACAGCGGGCAGGCGAAGAGCGAGTACCACACAAGGTTGAACTCGCATGCCGTGGTCTCCACGGGCTCCACCGTGCCCCCGCGCTGCGCCCAGTCTGGGTACGCCCGCTGCGGGTCAAACGCCGCCATGCGCCCCCCACTCGTCCACTGCTCCGGCTGCCCGTGCCCTGCCATGCCACGCACGGGGGGGAGCAGGCGGACACAAGAAAGAGGTGGGAGAGCTTGGGGATGTAGGCGTGCAAGGCTGATAACGCAGGGGCAATGGGGAAAAGCGGGGAGGGGTTGGTGATGGGAGGGACGACATGCAGTGGTTGGTGATGGGAGGGACGACATGCAGTGGTTGGTGATGGGAGGGACGACATGCAGTGGTTCGTCATGGGAGGGACGACATGCAGTGGTTGGTGATGGGAGGGACGACATGCAGTGGTTCGTCATGGGAGGGACGACATGCAGTGGTTCGTGATGGAAGGGACGACATGCAGTGGTTCGTCATGGGAGGGACGACATGCAGTGGTTCGTGATGGGAGGGACGACATGCAGTGGTTCGTGATGGGAGGGACGACATGCAGTGGTTCGTGATGGGAGGGACGATATGCAGTGGTTGGAATCCACGCAGCAGAAAGTAGGAGGGCGCGGGGCGTGGGTTACGAGGCGTGGGGTGCGGGGCATGGAGTGTTACCAGCGGCGGGGTCACAAATGAAGGTGATGTTGGTCTGGCGGGGCAGCTGGGTCTCAGGGCAGTCGTCCCCCTTGAGCATCATCACGAACCCACGTGTGCGCAGCTCACTGGCCACCACATCCAGCGACTCTATCGCCAGCGACGCCCCCAGGTTGTGCCCCGGCCGCAGCGCACCCTCCACGTCCTCTGCAGGGTCCACCTTGCACGCATACGTGTTGAGTGCGTTCCCTCCGTAGTCATAGCACGTGTCGTTGGTTCGATCGCGGTCGCACATGCTGATGAAGTATGACGCCTGCTGCGTGCCGTTCTTGGTCGTTGCATCGTTAGATGCCACCCCAAACATCACCCCCGGGTGCATCCGTGCCAGAGGCGACAGGTCGAAGAACAGCCGCCCGCCGCCCGCAGTGGCGCCCGTCAGCCCGCCGCCTGCCACCACCATGCCGCCGCCCTCCGCCAGCGTCTCGTTCCAAAACTGCTCCTCCTGCTGCATCTCGCCCGTGGGGCCGGTGGGGGCGGGCGCGGCGGGGGAGGTGAAGGGGTTGAAGGAGGAGGCGGGGGGAGGCGGAGCGTCGGCGGAGGCGTTGTAGGCGACGGGGACGCGCACAGCGAAGGTGCAGAAGGAGGAGGGCACGCGTGCATCGCCCAGGAAGCACTCACTGCTGCCCGGCAGTGACGTGGTGCCCGCGCCACACCGCTCACACGCCCATTGCGCTCCCTGCCAGGCCAGCATGCCATGCCATGCCATGCCATGCCATGCCATGCCATGCCATGCCATGCCGTGCCATGCCATGCAGTGCAGCAGCAAAGCAATCAGGAGGGATGATCGTGGTGGAGGTGAGTTGAGTGGGCATCTGGCAGATACCATTGGGGACGGCATGCCTGCGTAGCAATAAAATAAACTTGGCATTATGCACACACCTCCCTGAACCCATCCCCGTGTGCTCATCCCCAACCACACAATCCCAAACACACAATCCCAAACACACAATCCCAAACACACAATCCCAAACACACCATCCCAAACACACCATCCCAAACACACCATCCCAAACACACCATCCCAAACACACAATCCCAAACACACCATCCCAAACACA